AATGAACCTACGAGCCTACGCGAGCAACTCAAAAGAATTGAATGAATTCTTCGAACAGAATGAGAATTGTAAAGTTCAACAAATACAGAAACTACTTGGACTACGCTGGAACACAGAGGATGATACACTTATCATTTCGTTGCCTGAAACCCCTAAGAGAGACTTCGTATGGACCAAAAGAAAGGTTTTGAGACATATCGCTCAAATCTACGACCCAATCGGATTATTTTCGCCGGTCCTCCTCATTGGAAAATTGTTTCTTCAATCACTCTGGAAGATCGACTTATCTTGGGATGAAACCCTACCTAACAAGGAGTACGAAGTGGCATCAAATAATCTCTTCCTGGACAATACCAGAACTGACTATACCACGATTGATCATCGATCCAAATGATTTTTCAGCAGATTTCGACATTCACGTATTCACCGATGCTTCAGCTAACGCCTACTGCGCCGTTGCTTATATCGTACAACGTCACACGGGCAAACCCACAAGGATATCGTTACTTATGTCAAAATCCAGGTTAGCTCCACTCAATCAATCCATCACAATTCCCCGACTGGAATTAGCCGCACTGATGATTGGCGCGAAACTTCTCACATACGTCACGAAGCAACTCGACCTCCGCATTTCCAAAAGGTATCTTTGGACCGATAGCATCGTATCTCTTGCTTGGACTAGAAGCAATAGAGACCTTCCCGTCTTCGTCCGAAATCGTGTAAGGATCATTCTCGAAAACACCACAGATGTCATTTTGAGGCATATTCCCGGTGAACTCAATCCTGCAGATGTAGGAACACGAGGAGCTGCAATTGAGGAGCTACTGAAGTTCAAGCAGTGGTGGAATGGACCAAAATTTCTCATGGAGAAACCAGAATCGTGGCCCTCCAATTGGCTGGAAACTCTTGAAACTAGCAAAACAGACTCTGCAAAAGAAGGAAAAAGGAAGAAGTCTCAAACGTTTCTGTGCAATCCGCTTTCCTCATCTGTCTTCTTATCTAACAAAAATGTCGGTCCTGACAATTGGAACAATATGGTCATAGATGCGTCACGTTTTAGCACATGGACCAAGCTAGTAAACACCCTCGCGTATGTTCTGAAATTCATAACAGATAGGATACCAAGAACGACTACAGTATTTGGATACTCAAAGGCAGCACGTCTGAATCATGCAGAAATTATCATATTTCGTCTTGCTCAGGCGATGACTCCACCTTCCGAGGAACACAAGAAGCAACTCCATCTTTTCCAGTGCGCCCGAACTCAGTTATGGAAAAGTAAAGGCCGAATAGACTACGCTAATCTACCTTCGGAAGCAACTACTCCAGTCTATTTGCCACGCATGAACAAGATAACCTCACTTTTTGTACTTCACATTCATCAAGTCAATAACCA